ACCATGCCACTACTAAATACCTGAACTCCTGCATACCAAATGCAATCTCCCATTGGCTATCTGTGCCAAAGAATATTCAAACAAGTAAAACCCTCATTGCCTTTAAGAACAACAATCGCAAGCACCTTCTCAACCTTGACATAAACATAATCCCTACCTCAATGCTAAATATTTCTAGAAATGAAGAAACACTTATCAATAGGTTTAGGGTAGACCTGCTCTTCAGGGCTCAACTCTTTGCCCACAATTACACCTTCATCAGCTCTCCTAATTGCTCTTGTGGTCTACCCGAAACTCCAAAACACTTCTTTTTTCACTGCCCTCTGAATGAAAATGCAAGAACCATCTTTTTCAATACTCTCTATACTGAAACTCCTTTGATCCCCACTAACCAATCCACACTTTTAGAATACCTAGCCTTTGGCAATCATAATTTTAGCAAGGATGAAAACACAAAAATCTTTACTCTGACTTCTGCCTTTATTAAGAGATGGCTTACCCCCATATTGAACAAGACTGAAGAAGACTATCTTAGAACCTATTGTACCCTGCCTTGTCTTGCAAATATAAATTACATTGTCCCTCTGCCCTGTATATCCCCCAGTCCCAGCCCAGCTCAGACCCCCCCCCCTTCCACCCCTCTTCATCCTTTTCCCCGCTTGGCTAGAGTGCTTAGAATGACAAAATGGTGATTAGCACTTGAATATGCTCTCTTGTATTTACTATATTACCCCATGTACATCTATTTTTTATAAATAAATAAATAAAAAAAAACGCCCCCATGAACTATAGGTCGTCATAAACACACTTCTATCTTACAGTCCAGGGTCTATAGATACATCTTGGCTGTTTTAAAGCTTTGGTTTGCTATGTAATATAATTAATCTCACCTCCAATGACCTTCACTTGCTGCAAAATACTCCAGTCTATTTTTTCAAAAAGTAATAGCTGAAACACAAACTATCTTCTCATAATACGATTTGGCACACTTCCATGATAGTAATGTTCAGGTCACGAATATAACAGAATGCTTACATACAAAAAGGCACGAGCCGAAAAATATTCTTGGTTCTGGTAACTATGATTAGCAAGGTTCCAAATTCAAGGCGTACCTGTTGTTTATCCTTGGTATGCGTTTTTCTTGCTTCTTAAAGAGATCGGGTCACCTAAAAACACAATTAGAGCAACCCCCTGATTTTTTCGTGTTATTTGATGTAAAACAAGTTTGTTTATCAACTTATCAATTCTGAGGCTTGAATCAATTCTTTAACAGTATCAATTCGATGATTGCTCCCAGCCATGAATTTCCACTTATATCAATAGAAATTAAAATTAATTAAAAAGCCCGCTCAAAGTTCCAGTCTAATTGGCTTTTTCCTTCAGATTATTTTGGCCTAGAGAAGCCATATTTATTACTTCTAAGGGGTTACAATATAGATAAATCCCCCAAAACATTGTATTCTGTTTTCGACTTATTGCGTTCAATTCTGACAGTTGGTTGTTCTTTTGGTTGTCCTATTGATATCCTCAATATATTGTCGATATCGTGCTTATGATTTGGTCTCAAGATATATCTAAGGAATATATGGTGTTTTATGAGCAATTATATTGGGACATTACTGATTGTCCAGAATAGAAATCTGGACGTCTCGATCTCTTTAAAGGAGAGCTTCAATTGAAGCTAAATTCAACGCGCAGCTGGGTACTGTTTTTTTACGTTTCTTCATTCCAGATGTTAACATTGGTATATAAACTGATCTTAAACCGTGAGGAAAAGTTATTCCATAGCATGTTATCTGCACGTTTCAAGACTCTGAGAAAGTGATTTAACTTTTTTTTCAGTCCAGGATTTGGACGATCATTGCAGAAATTAAGCCTAAATATTGCACAAATATATAATGTTTTAATGATAAAATCCCCCAAAGCAAGTTTTACGATCACTTTTTGACGAAAGAATTAGATTTACCTCGATCCACACTTAGTATATCTGACACATGAACATGCTTTGCCTTATCAATTCATTGTTAATGATTTTCAGATATTCTTCATCTACATGTTCTCCATGGCGATAGTAGTGATGACGCTACTCTTCGTCATTATTCTACCAAAGAGGAAACAGTCAAACGTTAATCGTCACTCAAACGATATAGCATTACAAAGTGGAAGTGGACCACATGAGTGGGAACTCGAGGATTACCCGGATGTAGCCCATGCAGCAGAAGGAGCGAATTTCTACATGCGTATTGGCTTCATAGGTTGACATATAGAATACTCAGTGTTTTCTTTTGGCTGGAAACATCAGAGTTTCAGCACTTAGTTTAGCACATAGAGCATCTCTTTTGTTATTTTAACTGCAAAGGTCCATGTGCAGTATGGCACGTGATTTAAATTTTAGATAGTCATATCTTTAACCATGAGTACTTTCTGGGCATAAATACAGTGGTTTTTATTAAAACAATATGTTTTCTTTCAGGCAAAGTACCCATACTGATAGTATCAATCGAATTTCTGTTTTTTAATGCATGAAAAGATTATTCAACAAGGGGTCGAAAACTTTTTCAAAAGTAGAATGGCATTGAAAGTCTAGTTTTGAAGATATCCATTTTCGATGACCAAAACTATGCTGAAAACAATGGATAGCACGAGTTTTCCCTATGGGAAAATAACATGGGATATGTGGTTTTTAACTTTAACGCATTTCAATACACATCCCCTTTTCAGAAATAATAATAACGTGTAGAATAATAATAACGTGTAGAAGAAACTTTCGATATGTTCAAATTGAGAAAAACAAGATCCTCTTTTAAGAAAATGAGCCTAGCCTTTTTAAAAAAGTGCCAATATGGGGTCCTAATCCATAATTTCTCAGAGAGTCGGATTGATATTTTACTACCATGGGGACATCACTTGAAAGAAAACATATTGTTTTAATAAAAACCACTGTATTGATGGCCAGAAAGTACCCATCATGGCGAAAGATATGACCGTCTAAAATCACTTGCCATTCTGCACAAGGACCTTTAGTAATATTTCCCCACAAAACACGATTTATCAAGGCGACACTGTCCACCTCTGAAATGTTTTTATCTTCGCGGAATTTTTCAAGTCAAGTGACCATTACAGTTTTGACGTACCCTGAACATACAAAGTAATTATAGCCCGATATCCGACGGTACAGTAAAAATTAAAGTACCATACTACATGTACTATATGTCATTCAAAACTCTCGAGGGGCGTAACCAGACGGGCTACGATGGGTGCCCCCTAATCCCACAAAGAAGCAATTTTGTAAAATTTGTTGAAACCCTTTTTGGGGGTTTGCTTTGCTCACAGTGATAATGGGGGGGAGGGGGGTTAGATTTTTGGGTTTTTTACTAGTTTTGCCCTGTGATATGGCCTGCTTGACATCCGACTCCTCGCCTGCATCAGGATTAAATTAGTATCATCAAACATGTCAAAAGCTACCACAATCGTTTTATTGGAATGTCCTGCAATTTTTTCCTCGCAATCCGTCCGAGTAATCGTTCAGATGATGCAACCATTACGGATGCAGTTTAATAATTGAACAGTTTATTATAAAGCTATTTATAATTATATAAAATGTTTTTAACAATAATGTAATCTCGTCCATTACCGAGGATCATAATATTCATACAACAATAGGCGTTGCTGTAGCTTTTGTTAAGGCTGACATATCCAATTGCAGGGTTTTCTATGGGGACGATGTTATATGGTTGTTTTAAGATGTCAGAAGCATTCAAGGATGGACGGAGTTCTACTATAGATTGCAAGGGGGTCACCTTTATCATCTGTTCATTTCTCCAGATAGTCTTCACCTTCATGCAAACAATGTTTTTCTTCAAAAACCACACGGTATGACCCTCTTCTTTGTCACAATCGAATCCTCGCTGTTTACAGCAAAAGTTAATGTTCATCACATTATTATCTTATTCGATATTTTTCACTATAATTTTTCACTACATGTAATGGTTTAAAGGCCCACTTTGCGTATTTTCAAAGCTTTTGGACAAAATAAAGACTTACATTTGAATATCTTATTACTCGTATGTCCAATGTATTGATAAGAATCGTATCGTTCATTTGACAACTACAGATCAAACGGACCACATCAAAGCTTACAATAAATTATCAAAAAATATTTTCGATCTGTCAAGCTTAATATATCAAGTGTTTATCAATGTCATTGGAAGATAGTAAAGTTGTTTGTATAACTTGATACATTCATTTTATAGAAGTGTCGCCATCTTTTAAATCAACAGTAGTTTAAAACATGCACTTTGTTTAACATATGCATGCATGTCTAATGATCTTTGAACTTCAAATGATTTTTTCTTTGTGAGTTATATTTTTTTGGTTCAATATTAAAGCAAATCAAACTTTGTGTCATATTTGAGCGAGTATGTGAGTAACATGTTTCAATGATTATTTTTTCTTCTAAATTAAGTAAAATGGGCCTTTAATTTTTTGGGTTTGTATAGCAATGTTGCTATACATGTACAGCTATTGCGTACCTATCATATCTGCGCATAAAACAGGGGTTTAAATTGTATAACAATATGGGAGAATTGTGTACACTAAATTACTTACTAGTATCTCAATAATCCCCGGGGTATTTTAGGATTCTTTTTATGTAGTTGAATCGTATTTTCATTGGCAGGACGAGGAAATTTTGTTTTAAATAGCAATTTTTCGTGTTATTTTTACTTAATTCAACTGTCAAAAGTCCTTCATCAATTGGTATATCCGGGTTCCCTTCCTCATACGCCATCTTGAAAAGAGGTGTGATCTTTCTCGATGATTTTCTTAAATACGGGGGCGTGGCACTTCTTTATTCGATCCCAAAATCAAGTTTTTGTTTTCTTAAATTTACAGATATTTAAGCTTTGGTTCATAATTTTTGAATGAAAATTCGAAGTCAGGGTACATCGTTTTAATCGAATTTAATTATACCTGAATCGCAGCTTATACTTAATTTTCAGATTGTTGTCAACGTCCACAAAAGTTTTGTGAAATGGTGCATGTGGCATCTAATAGCCACCAACTTGTGTGTGTGGCTATGGTACGAAATAACAGAGATTGAGAATGACATCAGAGAAGACAAAGATGAACCTTTACTGATAAGTATGCCAAATCTATTTATATTGAGACCATCGAGATTTATGGTGTCTTACTTAATTAGCTGGCAACTAGCAATGTTAACAAAAGTGAAAGAGGTATTTGAAGAATGATCATTTTTGTGAACAAAACCTGTGAGAATTACATTATAGGCAACGGGTTGCATGAACCATGTACAAAACAAGCGTACATTACATTTAAATGTTTTTGCATTTTTGTTATCCTTCGAAATTCAAAGCAATCATCAGAAACGCGAGTGTTAGGAGTAGTGAAGGGCAGAATGAGGAGCCACTCCAAAATAATGAGACTATGGCAAGTGAGGGAAATGTTGAGGATATAGGTGAGCATGAAAACGCCTCTTGATTCCTTGAAAGTATCGTTTCAATGCAATTTGGGTTTATGTAAAATAAAACGCTTCTTCTAACATGTCGATATGTTTTTCAGGTTGCTACGCCTACGAGATCATCGCAGAGAAAAGTTCTGAATATTTGTTTCCGTGTGTTATAGAATTTAGCCTCTTAGGAGCGACCCTCTCTTACATAGTTCTATGCTCAGTAGGCACACCACTTGAGCTGCCATCCTCAAAAAATGCCAAACCGGAACCGGAAGTGAATAGGGATTGTCATAAAGCAAACTCAGGATTGTTTGGTGGCATTCTCATTTTCATGGTGACAATCGTAGCCGTGGCAGTGTTTTTCGTACTCGTGGATAACCTCACGATGCCACTGGAGGCAATGACAGTATTTTACATCACAGAGATTGTACTTCTATCTGCAACATTTGCCGGGTGTCTCATTAGTATTCTAAAACTGAAATATTTGCGATTTTCTCCCGGTGAGGTTGGTATAGATTCAGTATTGCTGATGGTGTCACTTGGAGTTGTTTTCATGTTTCATTTATTCATGATAATCTCATCAGCCGAACAGACCCATGTATTTGGATTCATAGGAGTTCTATCGATAATAGTGTCGGTGTTTGCCATCATCCAGGCAGCCCTTCAAGTTGTTATGATTATAGATGGCATGCTGCGTTCCAGTGTACACGACACACATCTGCAAAGTAAACCAGGCAGGTCATTGGTTACTTTCGTCATCATTGCAAACCTAGCGCTCTGGGCAATAAATACTTTTGAAGCCAAGAAAGCGGGACATTCAGGGATACATGCACAATATTATGGAAAGGTTGTTTGGTCAATAATCCAGCACGTCTCTATACCATTGGTAATATTTTACAGATTCCATTCAACCATCTGCCTCTCTGATATCTGGATAAATGCTTACATTAAAAAAGAAGATTAGACATGAACGTTTAGTGATCTAGATTACCCCCACGTACATCCACTCTAGAAGTTTGGCAATCAGAAGTCCCTTTTTGATAAAAGATTTATGACTTTGGTGGATTTTGAATGTTGTTTTTTTTTCGTAATACAGAAATAATTTAATTTAAGACCTACTGTTCTGTGTTCAATTATTTAAGACTTTCAGGTTACACACCTAAATATCTGTCGTATCAGAATTAGTCTTTGAATTCATAATAGTCAAATAACACCTTATTTTTTCTATTCCCCTCATTTAAAAGTTTTGGATTTAGAAAAACTATAAATTGCCTCTTATCGATGAAAGCACTAATGGTCATAACCAAAAGGTTTGCTTACCTTTTATTCAAATATTCAACGCGTTTTGGAGAAGACTGATGACGAAACAAAATTGAGAGGACCGATGACTAAACAAAATTGAATGGACTGATGACTAAACAAAATTGAGAGGACTGATGATTAAACAAAATTGAGAGGACTGACGACTAAACAAAATTGAGTTGACTAATAAATAAACAAAATTGAGATGACTAAGCAATTTAAATAAACTTTTTTTTTTATTTGAACTATGCATTTCATAAGAACGTGTAAATATTAATATAGAGTTTCGGAAAGTTTTACCCATGTATTGCATTACATAGTAATAATCCACAACGATCCGACGTTATTTCATTTTTCTGTGGCAGGAGGTGTAGCTTGGTCGACAGTATGCTGCACGATCAAGCTCTACGATATCATAAAGGCCTAATAAACCAGCATAAAAGTGACATTGTTGCTTGTGGAATTACTCTAGACGAACATTAAACATATCACGAAACACACGAGACGTGTCAGAGTCACAAGAATCTACAAATATGAATTCATACAAATAAGCAAATTTTGCGACGATTATTTTTCGCGATTTTACCAAAACCGCGAACATTCTCTCGAATTAGCCACCTTCGCAAAAATGATAGCATGCAGAAAATAACGGGAGTATAGTATTTTGGATGTAAGATTTTCTAATTTTGTAAGAATGCAATGCAAAGAGTTAAAGACGGGATTTATTTCATCAGGGATTTATACTTTGATAACCTCACATATCAAAGGAAAATGCCATTCACTTGTATTGAATACCTACCGGTTTGGAGAGAACAACTTTCTATGCTGACATGCAAGGAAGCAAGCGATCTTGCATTCACATGTACTGATGAGATTCTTAGGATGAGTTGTCTTGGGATGAGATGTCTTGAGGATGAGTTGTCTTGGGATGAGTTGTCTTAGAAATGAGTTGTCCTGTGACCGGATTAATTAGTTAATTATTTTCATTGTGTCTATTTCCATCATATTATTAGATTTCATTATATGTTTCCATTCAAAAAAATTTTCATTCTAGACTAACAATTGTTTCCCTCGTGTCTGGCTACGGTCGTAAAGCCATCGTTTGTATGTTCAACACAACAGCAAACACGATATCAAATTGAAATACACTGGAATACAAATAGAATCTTTTAAAGCGTGCACCTTAAATTCTGCAGATAAAGAATCTTGTATTTATCATAACAAACAGTATAACATGTTAGAGGGCGGAGAGTAGACATTGCTGGAATTACACCATGCGTTTTAGAAAGGCGCCTAAGGTTTTAACCTAGTTTGAAAAATACGTGAAATCACGATTGCGGTTTTACAAAAGCGCTTTTCCAAAACTCCTAGAACCCTAGTCACTAAAAACGCCTTAAATCGTTAGGCGCTTTTGGAGATGTAGTGTGACACCGATCGGTTTTTGTGAAACGCCTTACCTGTTTTTTTACCATTTTTCCTAAACGAAATAAGACGTATTTCGAGTGCTACACATTTGGGCCATGGCAAACATACAGGAAATGATGGATGGGACCCAAAACATGCAATAGGTCATTAAATTATATCACAAAAATTGAAAGTAAGTTCACATCACTGGCAAAAGTCTCGGTTATGTTTTCTCTTAGATGCTAAAATAATACATTTATTGTAGATGTACACATCTGCTGGATATTCTCCACATCTACATCGTTAAAAGTGCACGAAAGACGTTTTAGAAATGACAGGTGTAATTCCAAAATAAAATTCCTAAGGCGCTTTAGGATTGTTGGTGTAATCAGGATGGCGATTTGTAAAGCGCTTTCCACTAAAGCGCGTCTAGCGTTTTGTCTGGTGTAATTCCAGCAATTGAATCATAATTCACTCTACTCTCCTTACGTGCTAGTTGTTCTATTTTATCAACTAGAACCGATGAACATTTATTGAACTCGATGCCTGACTCGATATAAGCATTTAACTAAGGATATATATTAAAATGGTAAGCGAGACTGTTTCCACATCTAAACGAGTGTCAGCACCCGGAGACGAGATGAATACTTCTAACATAGATCTATCAGAGAACAGGTAAGTGACTAATATGAATCATATCATGTAATACCCACACCTAATGTCTTACTATAGAAACTGCATAGGGTGGTTGGGGGAATATGATATGAAACTATATCAAGCAGACTGTCTTTGATTTAAAAGTATTTCAACTATATGACTTCTTTTGACTTCGGTAAAATCTCAGCTACACGTTAGAATCAAGTGAAGTAATCTTTTCAACATGCGAATATGATTATTTGAATTTCATAAGCATAACACTTATGATGCAAAAATATGTAAATTAATTTACTGCATTTTTATGAATCACACTATAAAGTTTAACAAAAATATTTTGAAATTTGACATTTCCCTCCGTTTCCCAAAATGTCGGACTCCTGAATAACAAAGGATAAAAGCTATGTTGTCAATCCATATATCGATTACATGTTTAGTAGAAATAAACACATATGCTATTTGTGTAGTTATCTTTTATATTACCGCCGATATGTATTGAAATAATTGACCCTTTATACACAACATCAAACACGATATCAAAATCAATTACTCATTAGGTATCGAAACCATACGTAGCCCGCAATCAATTTGCAAGAAAAATCGAACAGACATCTGAAGAATGGTATGACTCCGGAAAGTAGCATATTATTCATAGCACAACAACAGTTGAACCAATAATTAAGAAGTTGCATATGTCTTGTCTTTTCAAGATACTACTTATTGAAAAAAACGTCTGACTTTCGAGTGGAAATTATATCTATCATCACAAGGGATCAAAAAGGTTAACATTTCATTCGAATTCTTATGTATTTTACGAGATACAAACCGTGAATCTACAAGCATATACATACTGAATCGGATTATCATAATGTAAAAATTAATTATAACTTTAATGTTAATGCTTTATTAGTGTAATCTTTTACACATTTGTTTAATTTTTCAAATAAGAGCCGAGCAGATTCAACAAAATTGTCCAAAATATTTAGGCAACTCATGTTTGCGAATATATTTATTTTTACGAATTAAAACTTTTTATTACCAGAATTAATCTCTGTCATCGCAAGGGCCCAAACAAATAATCATTGTTTATGTTTCGTAAAACAATGAGGATACAACAACACATATATTTCTTGTTGCAGGACACATACTCTCAATACATTTATAAGTTTACATTATGTAAACTTATATGTTCAGATAAAGGTATGACAGGGAACAGTATGAGGCCAAATATTCTCAAATTGAGACAATTCTTATGAAATTGCTCACTAGATCTGGTACTCCCTTTAAGCTTGCAGGCAATCACATTACACATTCAATGCCTAATCTGCGATTTTAAAAGCAAGCGCAATGTCTCTAATGTAAATAGATTATCTGATATTCATAGTTAGTCAAGCATTTTTCATTTTATTTTTTTCTGTATAAGCTGTAAAAAAGTACCCAAAAGTGGGATACAACTTTATAAAGCTCATAATGATATTTTGTATTCCAATATGTTTTATTTTTCAGATCATTCTTGGTATCTCTACTCTGCGGTCTATACGCATTGTTCATGATTGTCAGTGGATTTGTCATATGTTCTAACTCGTCAATTACTAGAAGCAACCCCAACTCCCATTTATATGTTGACGTGAGTTTAACTCTAAATA